CAGACATTACTAAGATGTCAGCTTGCACCTCCATTCTGCCAACAATGCCAGTCTCTATCACCCACTCATTACATTATCAAATAGGAATCTTCATGTTTTGTCTCAGCCTACCCTTCACCTATGGGTGGAGCTTCCTGTGACCGTCCACAAAGCCACCTCACTGTCATCCTTCAGATCCCCCCTTAAAACTCTCCTTTGCCATGATGCTTAAAGAAAACTTGACAGCAGGTAGGGCAGCTGCTGTTGTGAAATCACTGCCTGTCAGGTTGCCAGAAGTTTCCGTGTGCTCCCTTGGGGGTCTGTCTCTTGTATTAGAACTAGACTGTAAACTCTTTGCAGCAGGAACCATCTTTTTGGTATCAGTTTGCACAGCCCCGAGCACAGAGGTGGGCAAACTACGGCCCACGGGCCCCATTCAGCCCGTGGGACTGTCCTGCCCGGCCCCTGAGCTCCCGGCTGGGAGGCTAGCCCCGGGCCCCTTGCCTGCAGCCTCAGCTCACCATGCCGCCAGAGCTCTGCGGGGGCGGGGTGGCTGCGAGAGCCGCCAGGCGTCGCGTAATAAATCGCTCCCCGTAGGCATGTGCGACTCACGGAGCAGAAGGGCTGGCAGCACTAAGCAACACACCGTAAGTAGCACATTCCTGTGGGGAGCAATTGAATACCCTACCCTGGGCAGGGGAGCTGGTGCCTGCCCAAAGGGCCTGGCTCCTGCCCCCATCCACCCCCTCCCTCTTTCTACCCCCAAGCCCAAGAAGGCCCAAGCCACTTTTGAAAATTGAACTTAATGGATTTAGGAGCCTAAGAGTCATTTCCAAAAATTATTTAGGGCCAGATTTTCAAAGCTATTTAGGCATCTAAAGATGCAGATTGGCACGTAGGCAAATTTCCCAAAGCATCTAAGCAGGTTAGGTTCCTAATTCCCATTGATTGCAGGTTAGGTGCCAAACCTGCATAGGCTGTTTTAAAAATCCCAGTAGGCACTTGTCTAAATCTTTTCTGATTGCCTAAGTCCTTTTCGAAATCTGGCCCTCAAGCACGCAGGTTACTTAGGTGCTTTTGAAAGTTTTTGTGCTAGTAGGTATCAGATGCATATTTCAAGCCCTTGGTGAAGGAACTCACCCTCTACCTTAGAAGCAGGAAAGGAGAGTGGGGTATGAACACTCCACACTCCAGTACAGATGCTTGCAGAGAATCGCTTAGAGCATTGCAAGCTGAAACTGACCTGCAACCTACTGTACCCATGGGTTCATGGAAACTCAGCTGCCTCGAGTACATTTACATTGCAAGAAAACCTGCGGCAGCGAGTCTCAGAGCCCTGGTTAGCTGAGTGGGGCTTGCAGGGCTCGCTCTAGAGGGCTAAAACTACCAGTGTAGACATTTGGGATAGGGCTGGAGGCCAGGATCCAAAACCCTCCCCACTCACTGGGTTTCACAGCCCAGCAGGAGCCCGAATGACTACACTGCTAATTTCTGCTCCATAGCATGAGCTCCACACATCAGTTGGCCCAGGCTCCGAGTCTCATTGCGGTGGGTCTTTGCAGTGTAGCTGTACCCCTGTAGGGTGAAACACAGCAAGCAGGAAAAGTGCACAGCACAAAACAGTTCGGACAGGAAAGAGAGAACGCTGTTTGCAATGGCAAGTCTCTTCCTTTCCCCAGGCCAAAGCCAAGGAGCCTGGAAGACTGTCAGGGCTTGGGAGAGAGGGAAGCAGCAGCCAGTTGGCTTGGCTGCGAATGATGCCAGTAAAAAAGGGAAGAAGGAGGATCCTGGGAACTACAGGCCAGTCAGCCTCACCTCAGTCCCTGGAAAAATCATGGAGCAGGTCCTCAAGGAATCAATTCTGAAGCACTTAGAGGAGAGGAAAGTGATCAGGAACAGTCAGCATGGATTCACCAAGGACAAGTGATGCCTGACTAATCTAATTGCCATCTATGACGAGATAACTGGCTCTGTGGATGAAGGGAAAGCAGTGGACTTGTTGTTTCTTGACTTTAGCAAAGCTTTTGACATGGTCTCCCACAGTATTCTTGCCAGCAAGTTAAAGAAATATGGGCTGGATGAATGGACTATAAGGTGGATAGAAAGTTGGCTAGATTGTCGGGCTCAACAGGTAGTGATCAATGGCTCTATGTCTAGTTGGCAGCTGGTATCAAGTGGAGTGCCCCAAGGGTCGGTCCTGGGGCCGGTTTTGTTCAATATCTTCATAAATGATCTGGAGGATGGTGTGGATTGCACCCTCAGCAAGTTTGCAGGTGACACTAAACTGGGAGGAGTGGTAGATACGCTGGAGGTTAGGGATAGGATACAGAGGGCCCTAGACAAATTGGAGAATTGGGCCAAAAGAAATCTGATGAGGTTCAACAAGGACAAGTGCAGAGTCCTGCACTTAGGACAGAAGAATCCCATGCACCGCTACAGACTAGGGACTGAATGGCTCGGCAGCAGTTCTTCAGAAAAGGACCTAGGGGTTACAGTGGACGAGAAGCTGGATATGTGTGCCGTTGTTGCCAAGAAGGCCAATGGCATTTTGGGATGTATAAGTAGGGGCATAGCGAGCAGATCGAGGGACGTGATCGTTCCCCTCTATTCGACATTGGTGAGGCCTCATCTGGAGTACTGTGTCCAGTTTTGGGCCCCACACTACAAGAAGGATGTGGAAAAATTGGAAAGCGTCCAGCGGAGTGCAACAAAAATGATTAGGGGACTGGAACACATGAGTTATGAGGAGAGGCTGAGGGAACTGGGGATGTTTAGTCTACGGAAGAGAAGAATGAGGGGGGATTTGATAGCTGCTTTCAACTACCTGAGAGGGGGTTCCAAAGAGGATGGCTCTAGACTGTTCTCAGTGGTAGCAGATGACAGAACAAGAAGTAATGGTCTCAAGTTGCAATGGGGGGAGGTTTAGGTTGGATATTAGGAAAAACTTTTTCACTGGGAGGGTGGTGAAACACTGGAATGTGTTACCTAGGGAGGTGGTGGAATCTCCTTCCTTAGAAGTTTTTTAGGTCAGGCTTGACAAAGCCCTGGCTGGGATGATTTAGCTGGGGTTTGGTCCTTCTTTGAGCAGGGGGTTGGACTAAATGACCTCCTGAGGTCCCTTCCAACCCTGGTATTCTATGATTCTATGATTAAGAAACAGGAAGAGTCAGCATTTGGTTCCAAGGATTCAGATGTGGGAGGGGCTGGAAAAAGGGAAGATTATAGTTCTAGCTTGTCCACATTTCTCATGCAGTTGAAGGTAACTAAATCTGGGCAAAAGGATGTGCTAAAATTGGAGAGGGTTCATTGACTCTCATTGCTGCATTTAACGAGTGTATTTTCAGTTCTGGTTTTGCCAGCAAGGGCTTTCCACAACCACCTTCTCCTTCTTGTCCTTTGTCCTGGGGCAGCCCAAGGAGTCCTTTGTGGGGTTGCAGACACAGCTGGAGAGTTGAGTTCTTGCTGGGGTGACTTATTCTCTTTTCTCTGTCTGCTGTGACTTGCCTCATCTCCCTCCGCAGAAGGGCTGGACAGCTGCAGTTTCTTGCTACCACTCAACAGCCAGGAGCTTTGAAAAATGATAGAAAGACAGTAAGGTTGGAAGCTGGCTGCTTGAGTCCACATGCTTCGGGTCCTGAGCAGGCTTGTACAGCCCACGCTGCTGCCCATGCTACCATGGTTACTGGTTACCATGAGATTACTGGTTCTGTGGATGAAGGGAAAGCAGTGGATGTATTGTTTCTTGACTTTAGCAAAGCTTTTGACACGGTCTCCCACAGTATTCTTGTCAGCAAGTTAAGGAAGTATGGGCTGGATGAATGCACTACAAGGTGGGTAGAAAGCTGGCTAGATTGTCGGGCTCAACGGGTAGTGATCAATGGCTCCATATCTAGTTGGCAGCCGGTATCAAGTGGAGTACCCCAAGGGTCGGTCCTGGGGCCGGTTTTGTTCAATATCTTCATAAATGATCTGGAGGATGGTGTGGATTGCACTCTCAGCAAATTTGCGGATGATACTAAACTGGGAGGAGTGGTAGATACGCTGGAGGGGAGGGATAGGATACAGAAAGACCTAGACAAATTGGAGGATTGGGCCAAAAGAAATCTGATGAGGTTCAATAAGGATAAGTGCAGGGTCCTGCACTTAGGACGGAAGAACCCAATGCACAGCTACAGACTAGGGACCGAATGGCTAGGCAGCAGTTCTGCGGAAAAGGACCTAGGGGTGACAGTGGACGAGAAGCTGGATATGAGTCAGCAGTGTGCCGTTGTTGCCAAGAAGGCCAATGGCATTTTGGGATGTATAAGTAGGGGCATAGCGAGCAGATCGAGGGACGTGATCGTTCCCCTCTATTCGACATTGGTGAGGCCTCATCTGGAGTACTGTGTCCAGTTTTGGGCCCCACACTTCAAGAAGGATGTGGATAAATTGGAGAGAGTCCAGCGAAGGGCAACAAAAATGATTAGGGGACTGGAACACATGAGTTATGAGGAGAGGCTGAGGGAGCTGGGATTGTTTAGCCTGCAGAAGAGAAGAATGAGGGGGGATTTGATAGCTGCTTTCAACTACCTAAAAGGGGGTTCCAAAGAGGATGGCTCTAGACTGTTCTCAATGGTAGCAGATGACAGAACGAGGAGTAATGGTCTCAAGTTGCAGTGGGGGAGGTTTAGATTGGATATTAGGAAAAACTTTTTCACTAAGAGGGTGGTGAAACACTGGAATGCGTTACCTAGGGAGGTGGTAGAATCTCCTTCCTTAGAAGTTTTTAAGGTCAGGCTTGACAAAGCCCTGGCTGGGATGATTTAACTGGGAATTGGTCCTGCTTTGAGCAGGGGGTTGGACTAGATGACCTTCTGGGGTCCCTTCCAACCCTGATATTCTATGATTCTATGATTCTATGGTGTCATTGCTGTTGATACTGAAGCTAACTAGATCAAAGCTAGCTCAGGTATGTCACCACATACTACTGGAACCTGTTACCTGTGCACAGGTAAGGGACTCTTCCTGTTTCTCTGTTGCAGGTGATGGAAGTTGCATCTCCAACTGCTGGCAGTGTCCTAGTGGAGCTGTCCCAGCTGCAAATGTTCCAGGTGTGCCGGGAAGTCTCTGTGAGAACTATGTCTCTGTATGGAGAATCAGCTGATTCAGTGCCAGCCCAAATCCCCTCAGCCTTGCTGAAAGCTTCTAGACATTCCTCACTACCACAGACTGTTGTTTCTACCAGTCTCACTTCCAGACTGATCTGTGGGGAACCCAAGGGCTCTCCTCCCAAGCGAATGCCAGTTACACACTACACAGCTCCGCTCTTCCCTCTACAGAAGTGTTTCACTGACAGTTCAGATGCCGACTTTGCTGTCCACACCACTGCCAGCTGTGATAGCGCAGTGAATTGTCCGCCAGGGAAGATGTCCCCACACCTGTGCCTCTCCTCTCTCCGGGTTTCCTCGGTGCAAGTGTTGGGCACATCATCCCCTGTTTCAGACACCGCAAGACATGAGCAGTGTCTGACTTCCCTTCCGCAGCCTGCAGGAGTGGGCGAAGAACCCAAGCCTTCGAGGGCAGCAGCATTGAAGGGCCCTGGTGAAGACATCCAGGCACAGGGGACGGTGAGTGTCTGGGAATCCTGGTCTGAAAAGTGTCATGAATTCTAAGACACTGGAAAGGGAAGGGAAACAGACCTCGTTGGGGGGAGTGGAGAGAATTTATAGGGAAATGACAGAGTGCCATTTTTCTCTTTGTCAGGTGACACACTGTTTGAGAGTGTGTGGGCCTCACACTGGTGCAGAATAAAAGGAGAGTATTGCCTGCTTTGGTGTGTGCACAGGACAGGAGAGGACAAATGAACCTCATTGCTCGGCTGCATGTGCACCATCAGATCAGAGAGCTGCACCAGGGAGGCAAGAGATAAGAAATGTGGGTGACGGAAAAGGCACCATCATCATTATCATTACCGGTGATGATGATGGTGTTTGTATGGCATTCACCGTCCGTCCATCTCTTATCAGTGCAGGCTGTGCACATGGTGGTATTGGTCGCTGTGAGCTGTGCTGGGCAGGGTGGGCAGGAAAGGGAACAGAGGCAGTCTGTACAGGCAGCCAGGAAAATAGCTGCAGGGGCGGTAGCTGATCAGGAGTGGGGAACCAGAGTAATGGGTTCCCATAGCACTAAGCAGTCTGAAGTCACTAGCCTGCGGGGGTCTGTGTACACAGACTGTGCACACAGGTGTGACTGCAGCACATACCCAAGCTAGCTTTGGTCTAGCTAGATGGAATAACAATGGGAGTGAAGCTGCAGAGCAGCAGCTGGCTGCTTGAGTCCACATGCCTCGGGTCCTGAGCAGGCTTGTACAGATCGCTGCTGCCATGCTACCATGGTGTCATTGCCGTTGATACTCGAGCTAACTAGATCAAAGCTAGCTCAGGTTTGTCCACATGCCGCAGTCCCATATCTGACTACTGTAGACAGGCCCTGGGAGGAAAGGTCTGATCAAGGTGTGAATCTGCCATTCAGGGGTGCAGAGCACTCTGTGAGGGAGGGTGGCTGGTGGTCTGTGAGGAATTCAGGCTGCAGGCACAGGAGGCCTGTTAACCTGTGTTGTGCCAGTCACAACTGTGGAGGAGAATCTTTGTCTCTTTGACACTTAGGACAGCTCTTTAGGCTTCTCCTTTGGGATAGACTGCGGCATTAGTGCAGGCTGAGAGGTGTAGTTAGCAGGATGCCCCAGTGGTGCCCACTGAAATGTTGGCCTATGTACTGATCCCAGTTTCTTCTCTTCCATAAGCTCAGTCTACTTTCTGCCTTTGCTGTCAGCCTACTTCTTGAAAACAGAAACAGTCAGTCACTAGCAATGGGTGAGGTCACCTCCAGTGTAATGCCAACCCCAGTAACAAAAAGCTAGAAGGAACTTGCTGCAGAGCCACATGCAGCCGGGAGTGTTTCCAATGCAAAGCAGAAAGGGGCCACATTAAACTGTGCTCGTGCACTTACATGCCACATGGGCTGAAGGGGTTTAATCCAGGGAGATTGCTTTCATCTTAATCATGAATGGATGTTTCATACCCACAACTCCACCACAGTTAGTCACGGTCTGTAGTTTGCACTGAAGGGTGCAAAGGATTGGAATAGAGGGGAAAGAGATGCGGGTTGAGGGACACAGGCAGAGCTCCAGGGGAGTCCAGGGGAGTCCAGGACTAAAGCAGCAGGTTTCGCTGCAGGTCAAGATGGGGGTGCATTGAACTGCCAGAGCTGGGTATGACTAGAGTGTCTTGGCAGGGCTGTGTAGGGGAAGCCTCCCTAATCCCCACCTGCACTATGACTGGCTATAGGCAGGGGACCTGACTTTTAGTAGCAGCAAAACTCACTGAAAAGTGTAAGCTCAGGGTTCTCTGTGTCTCGCCCTCCACAACCCCTGGTGACTGCAAAGGCATTTCTCCCTAACCCTTGTTCCGCAAAGATGCTGAGTTAGGGAATGTGTGATCCAGGGCCTTGTACTGAGAAATAATCATGCAGCCAATACTATGAAGCTTCATCTTCCTGACCAAAACAGTTTCTTTTTCAGGAGGAGCTCTCTGTAAGCAAAGAACCTGGGCTAGAAAGCAGTGATGTGAAGATGCTCATGGAGACCTGCCACGCATGCTTTGTGGAGGAGCAGTTGAAAGCGTCAACCATTGACAGAGAGAGGAAGGCAAATGAGCAGTGCTTGAGTCCAGAGCCTCAGCTCTCCACCCACCAGGCCGAGGTGGGTGTGGACAGTTGCAGAGACTCAGACAGGAATGGAAGCTCTGTGCAGGAATTCCTAAGAGTGTCCCCTGGAAAGAAACTGATGAAAGAAATTTCCCGAGGAGACTCTTCTCTGATGGCGCCCAAAGTCAAAAGAGAGGTTTGTGTTACTCCAGGAGAATTTCTGCCTAAGGGGCCATTGTTTTTGAACCCCAGAGCTGCAAGTGCATCATGCAGAGTCCTGTGCAATGTATAGGAGCCTAGTTCTTCCCCCGCAGATACGATGCTCTGCATGATTTTTCTTTTTGCCCACATAAGTTGCTCTCTATCTCCATTCTGCTCTCTTGTCTCCTGCCATGCTTATGATAGCTATCCTTAGGCAGAAGGGGAAGTGCAGCTTTGTACGTTGCTGAAATGGTGAGCCAGTCTCAGAGGTCTGAGTTCTACATCAGAGGTTTTTCTTTTCAATAGCAGGAAGAGAAAATAGCAGAAGCAGGAAAATGGCAGCTGAATCTGCTTGCGGAGCACAGCCGCAGCTCTGACCTGTCAGATATTTTGGAGGAGGAGGAGGAGGAGGACCTAAGCTCAGACCTGCAGGGAGAGAAGCAGTGGGACCCAAGGGCTTACTGCAGCGGAGAGAACGGGGGAAAGGTAACTTCCGGCAATGTCACCTTACTAGTGCGTTTGAGTGGACTCATTCCATTACATTAGCGAGTAAGAGGGGCCATCTCACTGAGCCCAGATGCTCTCAGCAGCTGTTTCCTAATCTCCTACTCTCAGAGCTCTCCATCTTACAGGCTCATGTCCTCTCCCACTAGCCGGGATACCCGTTTGTTGTAGAAGGGAAGGGATGGGTGTGAGAAATAAACTCTGGAGTCAAATGGGTAAGTAGTTCAAACATGTTTTATTCAGCTGGAACAATACAAAATGTACTGCAAAGGTAACACAATAGGCTGAGATCCTGTCCCCATTGGAATCAATTGCAAAACTTCCATAGACGTCACTGGGGCTGGGATTTGACCCCTAATATATAAATAACAGTGACTGTTCAATAAATTAATACTCAGATTTGTGTAAAAATACAAATAATCTGCAATGTTCACATATTTATAGAGCCCATACAAAACTGATACGAAGGTGGCATTAAAGCTCCAATCCTGCAAATGCTCATGCACATGAGTAACTATCTGCACATGATTGCAGTTGGACTTCTCCTGGGCATAAAGCTAAGCGCACGGATAGATGAGTGCAGGCTCGTGGCCTGAGGTTATATGGGTAGGCTCTGAAAAGTGAGGAAATGTCAGCTAAGTTCACGCACACGATATGAGAAGTAGCATGTGATGTTGAAATGAAAGACTCCATTGTAGTTATTCACCCTCAGCTGGGAAGAGAGTTAAGATCGTGTATGACTGAAAAATGGCATTTGACCACATAAATGATTGCTGCGATGAATAAACACAAAGGGTTAGAATATGGTTGTGCATGCAAAGTGGTCTTCAAGCAAGCTGGAAAGACTTGCAGAAAATGCTCTTTGGTCAGTGCCTGAGGCCATTTGAATTCCTTTTACAGTTCCAAAAGGTAGCTACAATTAGCCAATCTGGAGATGTGTGACTGGCAGCTTGCACTGCTGCCGTGCTGAAGCTGCTGAGGAGAAACAGTTAGCAGAGGGCAATGTGATGAATCTGCTGATGTTCCATCTGCTGCTGCTGCTTTCCTCCTGCTCAGGAGGGACGTAGGTCGCTAGGTGGGAAGGTTCAGGGCAGCTGGAAGGCCAGTTGGGAAGAAGTGTGTCTAGCTGACTCTAGGACTGGTGCAGTAGTTGGAGGTAGTGGGCTTGCCTAGGAAGGCACTACTGGGGTTTGGCTTACCACAGCAGCCTGGCAACTCCATGCAGGGGGAACAAGGCTCCTACTGCTGAACATGGGTTTTTACCACTTCAAGGTAAATTGTGAAGCAAAGCACTTTATTTGTATTCTGCCCAGAACCTCTGTAACGTATAAACTGGGCCTCAAAGTGTTGCTGTTTTTAAAAAGCTCTGCTTGGTGGTTTCATTAAGAAACTAGAATGATACAAATCAACATGGAACTTACTCAATGATTTAAAAACTGGCTAACTGACAGATCTCAAAATGTAATTGTAAATGGGGAATCATCATCAAGCAGGTGTGTTCAAGAGTGCCAGAGCCCTCCCCAAAGTAAGGGGGTCAGGAGCCCCTGCTCCTGAGGCCCTGCCCCCGGCCAAGCTGGAAGCCAGATCAGGGCCAGGGAGCCCACCCCAAACCCCTCACTGCACTTGGGGCAGGGTGGGGCTGAAAGTAGCCCCCTGCTCGCCCCCCCTGACACTGCCCAGGGCAGGTGGAGGGACCCAGGCTCCTCACAGCTGCCCGCACAGCTCTCCACAACTCAGCTCTGGCCGGAGGGGGGACGGAGGCTCAGAGTTGCAGCCCGGCCATGATAAGTAGGGTCCTACCAAATTCACAGTCCATTTTGGTCAATTTCACGTTCATAGGATTTTTAAAAACATATATTTCAGGATATCAGATATTTAAATCTGAAATTTCCTGGTGCTGTAATTGTAGGGGTCCTGACCCAGAAAGAAGGTGTGGGGGGCCGCAAGGGTATTGTAGGGGGTTGCGATACTGCTGCCCTTACATCTGTGCTGCTGCAGATGGTGGTGCTGCCTTGAGAACTGGGCAGCTGGAGAGCCGCGGCTGCTGGCGGGGAGCCCAGCTCAGAAGCAGCACAGAAGTGAGGGTGGCCTGGTGTGGTACTGCCAGCCTTACTTCTGCGCTGCTGCTGGCGGGTGCTGCCTTCAGAGCCGGGCGCCCGGCCAACAGCCACCAGTCTCCAGCCCCCCAGCTCTGAAGGGCGTGCAGACGTAAGGGTGACAATACTGCGACCCCCCTAAAATAACCTTGTGACTTCCTGCAACTCTGCTTTAGGTAAGGACCCCCAATTTGGGAAACGCTAGTGTCCCCTGTGAAATCTGTGTAGTATAAGGTAAAAGTACACAAAAGACCATCTTTCACAGGGAGAGACCAGATTTCAATGTCCGTGATGCGTTTTTCGTGGCCGTGAATTTGGTACAGCCCAAATGATAAAAGCCAGGTGGGCAGCTGTGGGGAGCTGCGGTGAACCCCCCACCTGCCCATGGTGCAGGGGACCCGAGCAGCCCCTGGCCCTTATCCCTGCTCACTGGGCTCCAGGCCCAGGGCAGGTGGAGGGTCCATGCCATGGCTTCGCACAGCTGCCCACAAAGCTCTTACAGTGGCTGGGATGAGGCTCTAAGGCTCCCACCCTGGCCAGAGCTGGGTCGGGGAGAGCCGTGTGGGCAGCTGTGGGGAGCCAGTGTGGAGTCACAAACCCTCTACCTGCCCTCGGCCAGTCGGGGACACCATCCAGGGGTTGCTCTCAGCGCCCCGCCCCCCCATATGCCAGGCAGGTGGAGGGTCCACGCGGTTCCCTCCGCGTGAATGTATTGTTTCTTGTTTCTTGACTTTAGCAAAGCTTTTGACACGGTCTCCCACAGTATTCTTGTCAGCAAGTTAAGGAAGTATGGGCTGGATGAATGCACTATAAGGTGGGTAGAAAGCTGGCTAGATTGTCGGGCTCAACGGGTAGTGATCAATGGCTCCATGTCTAGTTGGCAGCCGGTATCAAGTGGAGTGCCCCAAGGGTCGGTCCTGGGGCCGGTTTTGTTCAATATCTTCATAAATGATCTGGAGGATGGTGTGGATTGCACTCTCAGCAAATTTGCGGATGATACTAAACTGGGAGGAGTGGTAGATATGCTGGAGGGGAGGGATAGGATACAGAAGGACCTAGACAAATTGGAGGATTGGGCCAAAAGAAATCTGATGAGGTTCAATAAGGATAAGTGCAGGGTCCTGCACTTAGGACGGAAGAATCCAATGCACCGCTACAGACTAGGGACCGAATGGCTAGGCAGCAGTTCTGCGGTAAAGGACCTAGGGGTGACAGTGGACGAGAAGCTGGATATGAGTCAGCAGTGTGCCCTTGTTGCCAAGAAGGCCAATGGCATTTTGGGATGTATAAGTAGGGGCATAGCGAGCAGATCTAGGGACGTGATCGTTCCCCTCTATTCGACATTGGTGAGGCCTCATTTGGAGTACTTTGTCCAGTTTTGGGCCCCACACTTCAAGAAGGATGTGGATAAATTGGAGAGAGTCCAGCGAAGGGCAACAAAAATGATTAGGGGTCTAGAACACATGACTTATGAGGAGAGGCTGAGGGAGCTGGGATTGTTTAGCCTGCAGAAGAGAAGAATGAGGGGGGATTTGATAGCTGCTTTCAACTACCTGAAAGGGGGTTCCAAAGAGGGTGGCTCTAGACTGTTCTCAATGGTAGCAGATGACAGAACGAGGAGTAATGGTCTCAAGTTGCAGTGGCGGAGGTTTAGATTGGATATTAGGAAAAACTTTTTCACTAAGAGGGTGGTGAAACACTGGAATGCATTACCTAGGGAGGTGGTAGAATCTCCTTCCTTAGAGGTTTTTAAGGTCAGGCTTGACAAAGCCCTGGCTGGGATGATTTAACTGGGAATTGGTCCTGCTTCGAGCAGGGGGTTGGACTAGATGACCTTCAGGGGTCCCTTCCAACCCTGATATTCTATGATTCCCCACAGCTCCCTGGGTTCTCCAGCTGGGCTCCACTCTGGCCTGGCTGAGGGGTGAGGCAGGGCCTTGGGGGGAGGAGGAGGGGAAAGGGGTCCGCCCTGGTGAAAAATGGCTGGGCCAGCCCCCCCCCCCCAACACTTTCAAAAAGTGGAAGGGCCCTGCCCCCCACACCGTCCATTCTGGCACCACTCGGTGTGTTTCTAGTGGGGTCACACAGGGTTTGGTTCCTGGCCCTATGCTGTTTAACATTTGTATCAGTGACCTGGAAGAAAACATAAAATCATCACTGATAAAGTTTGCAGATGGCACAAAGATGGGGCAGTGGTAAATAATGAAGACGACAGGCCACAGATGGAGAGTGATCTGGATTGTTTGGTAAACAGGTCATGCACACAATAATGTTTATCAATATGGCCAATTGTAAAGCACACATCTGAGAACAAAGAATGCTTACAGGATGTGGGAACTCTACCCTGGGAACCAGGGACACGGAAAAGACTTGGGGGTCATAGTGCACAATCAGCTGAACATTAACTCCCAGTGCAACGCTGTGGTCAGAAGGGCTAATACAGTCCTTGGATGTATAAACGGGAATATCAATTAGGAGTAGGTAGGTTATTTTACCTCTGTATTTGGCACTAATGTGGAATACTGTGTTCAGTTCTGGTGTCCACACTTGAATAAAGATGTTAAAAAATTGTAGTGGTAGACTCAAGGAGTTCTATCTATTTAGCTTATCAAAGAGCAGGTTAAGGGGTGATTTGATCACAGTCTATAAATACCTACATGGGGAACAGAAATTTGATAATAAAGGCTTCTTCAGTCTAGCAGACAAAAGTGTACCATGATCCAGTGGCTAGAAGTGGAAGCTACGCACATTTATACTGGAACAAGGTGCACATTTTTACTAGTGATGGTAAATAACTATTGGAGTAACTTACTAAGCGTCATGGTGGATTCTCCATCACTGACAATGTTTAAATCAGGACTGGTTTTCTAAAGATTTGCTCTAGTC